CTCTCCCCTCTTCCCATCCCTCTCCTTTCCCCTCCCCTCCCCCTCTCCTTCACTATCATCTCCTCTCCCCTCTCTTCTCCTCTCTTCCCCTCCCCTCCCTTCTCCTCCCCTCCCCTTTCCTCTCCCTCCCCCTCCTGAGGGAAACAATTGCAGCAAGCAATTGTTTGTTTTGGGCTGGGTGTAGTATATCTATTGAGCAGTGTTCAGTTTTGTATTTTCAATTTCCTGGAAAGATTTCACACTCTTGAGGCCAAAACATTGTCCTTGACCTACGTTGGGAATCTGTCCCTTCCTTTCTTGACCCTTGACTGTTTTCATCTTACTGCAGATGAGTGGCAGTATGGCAAGCATGTTCAGTGACAACGATATTGGGAGCATCGAGGTTCGTGGTTGCATCCAGTTCTCCCTGCGCTATGACTCCTCCAAGAAGGAACTCCACGTCCAGATCATTCAGTGCCGGGATCTTGCTGAAGCTAAAAAACAGCGCTCAGATCCGTACGTTTGGGGAAGGGGCTGGTTCTTAGATGCAGACCAACAGTTCCCACATCCTTGAAGGCTGACGGGCATCTGGCTGTATGTCTCACAATTTAGGAAGAATAGAAGCTGTTCAGGTCTTTCAATGGACTTGCAGCTGCTGCTAGCAGGATGATACCATAGTCCAGTGGTGGCAAACCTATGGCACACATGCCAGAGACGGCACTCAGAGCCCTCTCTGTGGGCACTTCTCTGAACTGCTGATAGCGGGCTACGGAGCTCCAGAGTGTGCCGGTCGAGGGGCCGGCAGGCTGTGGCTGCTGACGGACACTGTCAGCCCCCATGCGCTCGCTGGCCTCTGTGTGCGGGGGCCGATGATGTCAGGCAGCAGCCGCCCCGGCCCCTGCCTCACCTTGCCCTGCGACAATGGTACCCCAGCCCTGCCTCACCTCACCCCGCAGGACGAGCCTCCTGCCCACCACCCCACCCCCTGGATCTCTCCCAACCCTGCCCAACCCCCACAGGCATCCCTCCCCACGAGCAACATTGAGATGACCACGCCCACCTTGGCCACACCCACCCAGTCTGCCATGACTACCACAGCCATGCCCACCCGGCACCTGGCAATAAATAAGTGGGTTTTGGATTGCAGTTTGGGCACTCAGTCTCTAAAAGGTTCACCAGCACTGCCATAGTCAAACTTTGACTTAATATACCTCCCTTTAGCAGATTGTGTTTTACTCGAGGAAATCTGGATTTGGACCTTCCCACAAATAATGAATTTAATTTGGATATTTTGATAGCTTTTGCACTGGTGTAAACCTCCAGGAATTATTTGCATAAATTGGCATCATTTGCATAACCATGTCATATAAATTTTACCTAATGATATACTTAGGCAAATGAGGTCAATTTAAAACAAATCCTGCAAATTGATTGCTTGTCTGTAAATTTACACCAGTCACGATTGGACAAAGGCCATTATGCAAACCTGTTTGTACATCATTTGTGATACGAATGGTGTATTTTATAGAAATGTCTCAGATGATTAAAACCTCATTCCAGGGCATCAGGTGCCAAATTCGGGCAAGCCTCGCATGGTGACTTACACTGACTTTGTAATGCCTTTCTCACCCACCCAGATATGTCAAAACCTACCTGCTGCCTGACAGATCCAATCACAGCAAGAGGAAAACTGCTGTCAAGAAGAGAAGTTTAGATCCTATCTTTAATGAGACGCTTAAGGTGAGGGAGAAGCAGCAGCTTCTGATGTTAGCTCCTACTAATCAAAAGCAAAGTGGCGTACAAAGTCACCTTTCCAAGGACAAAGCCTTCGAGCCTTCTCTAGACATTCTCTCTTTCTCCTGGAATTGCTGCTCATCCAGACATTTTCTGGCACAGTGATCCGGTAGCTTTTGGACAATAAGCCACTCCTGGAACACTATGGAACTCTGTTTCTGTTCCAGAAAATTGACTTCTGGAAAACTCTTGAGTCCCTCCTGCTCAGTGTGGACCTGGAAGAACAGAACATTCCTGAGAACATCAGAATGGTTGTTAACTTTTATGCTCAACTAATCTAAAGCAATGTTTCTCAACCTTTGCAACATAGGTGGACTCCAACTCCCAGATTGGGGAATTCTGGGAGTTGAAGTCCACCCATCTTCAAATTGCCAAGGTTGAGAAACACTGACCTAAAGCATTTTACACGAGTGGACGGGGAAAGAATGAAGCAGGCACAGGTAGTCCTGGAATTGCAACCATTTGAAGTTACAACAATACTGAAACGAGTGACTTATGATCGTTTTTCCCCACTTCCAACCGGTGCAGCACCCCATGATCACATGATTAAAATTCGGATGCTTGACAACTGGCTCATATTTATGATGATTGCAACGTCCCGGGGTCATGTGATCACCTTTTGCAACCTTCTGACAAGCAAAGACTATGGGGGAGCGAGATGCACTTAACAACTGTGTTACTAACTTAACAGCAGTGATTCACTTAACAACTGTGGCAAAAAAAGGTCATAACATAGGGCAAAATCCACTTAACTGTTTTGCTTAGCAACAGAAATTTTGGGCTCAGTTGTGGTCATAAGTCAAGGACTACTTATATAGAGGAAGATGAATAAAGGTCTGGAACATGAGCAACTGATGGGGTGCCTATATCTCCTAATTTACAGTCTTCCTATATTGCCACCAATATTCAGCATTCTCACCTCTCAACAAAGGTGAAAACCAGAGCTTCTGAAGCCACCTGGTCCCATTTCCTCTTTGATTGCCCACTCAAAACAAAGGAAAAAGAAGCTTAAAAGGTTCAGTCTCATTACATTTTCTGGGAATGTGAACAGGTGGCTTCCTGCAGCCCTCCAGCCAATGGGAAGGCTAAGATGTAGTCCTGATCTTTTGCCCACTCCTGCCCTACATGATAAAATTAGAAATATATCGAGGTTGGAGAGGAAACGCTTAAGGGGAAGATGCTCACTGTTTTCTGCTATCTGAATCAGGAATGAGAAGACACTGTCTTTCAGATGTTTCTGAACAATTGCTCTACATCAGAGTTCCCCAACTCCCGGGCTGCGGACCAGTAACAGTTTGCAGCCTGTTGGGAACTGGGCCATGCAAGCAAGTGAAGTGTCATTTGCACTAAGTAGTGCACGAAACCACGTCCTCCCCCACCCACAATCCACGGGCATTTTTTTTCCTGTGGAATTGGTCCCTGATGCCCCAAAGGTTGGGGGCTGCTGATCTACATGACTGTTAGGTGGAAAGTTGGAGTGTCCCCTAAAGTTGTCCATCTTTTCTCCTTCCCTTTTCTCCTGTTTTCACCCCCAATCTTGACCTACAGTATAAGATTGAAAAGGCTGAACTCCAGGGTAGGCTCCTGAACCTGTCTGTCTGGCATCATGATTCACTGGGCCGAAATCTTTTCCTGGGAGAAGTGGAGATGGCCTTAAATACCTGGGACTGGAGCAACGCAAGTCCAAAGTGGTTCAACCTTCAGCCCAAGGTAGGTGACCCTGGTTGGACCAGATTATGGGAAAAATGGGTGTCCTCGTATTAGTTTCCTGTAGCATCTCACCTTGTGTAACACCAGAAGAGGAAGTTTTGTATGTGAGTGATGGAGATTAGTTCTATTAGATATCTAATTCTCCATGAAAGTGGGTATCAGAATGTCTTCCACAAAGAAAAGTAGATGTTATAGCTTTCTCCTCAGCGTCTTAGTTCTGCTCTGCTAAGCTAACTGATTCTGTACGGAGAGCAGTTATATTCTCTGAATTTCTATCAGAGGTTTGAAAGTCATATAGGTCAGGTACAAGCCTACCATCTTGATGAAAAGGAAATGCTTTAGCTTGCAAACTTTCCCAAAACATTTCCTTCGCTCCTTCTGACCAGCTTCACACATTGCTTAGTCCTTCCTTTTTGGACCATGATTAAATAAATAAACCTTAGTGCTTGGACTGCCACTGCCACCTAAGCCAAAACCCTGGCTTCAGCCAGATTTCTTCGTTTGCTTGTTTATAGCACTTAGGCGCCCCACTGCTGAATTAGAAAGGTTCCCAGATCAGTTAATACTAAAAACCAACAATGTCCCTTTTCCTTAGGTCTAAATCTAAACAGGGCTTAACATGAAAGGACAAAGCAATGAGGCGGGAAACAAAGTGATCCAGGCACCACTCTTTTTTTAAAAATAGTTTTTTTATTAAAAGATTTTACATGTACAATGAGAAATACATTCAAAGAAAACAATATATTAAATGTGAAAAAAGGGAAAGAAAGGAAGAGACAAAAAAGGAGATAATAATGATGATGATGATGATGATGATGATGATGATGATGATGAAGTTGGAAGGGACCTCGGAGGTCATCTAGTCCAACCTCCTGCTCAGGCAGGAAACCCTATACCATTTCGGACAAATGGCTGTCCAGTTTCTTCTTAAAAACTTCCAGTGTTGGCGCATTTACCGCTTCTGGAGGCAGGTTGTTGCACTGGTTAATTGTTCTAACTGTCAGGAAATACTGTAACAGAAAACATGAATGAGAGAGAGAGAGAGAGAGAGAGAGAGATTGTGACTTACAGTTTGAATGATTAGAAAGCATTGATTATAGAAAAGAAAGGAATTATGGTGTAATCTTACAGACGTTTAATTAGAATTATATAACTACTGAGAAGATTGGAATCCCTAGACAAGTCCTTTTGCTTATCTTCAGAGAATCATTGGATCACTTAACCTTTGAAATTTGGTCTCCAATTAAGTTCAGTTGGTAACCACAGGAAGTAGTGGAGATGACAGTGCCCTGTTGTCTGCTTCCGCTGAAGATCATGTTGAGACAGGAATTAATTTTCTGTAGGTGTAGAGGCAAATGTGGCTCTTTGAAGGGAAGAAGTCCACTGAGTCATAGAGCCACTGCAAATTGTTAAGGAGGGTCTGTGGTTCAATACAGAGTGCAAGTGATATGTGGTGAAACCTCCCAGCCTTCTACCTTATCATAGAATCCAACTATTGCCCTGTTTTGCTATCTCACTCTTTGAGGGCAGCGAAATAGACAGCTTTATGTATAAATGTAGTCCTTGACTTACAAAAGTTCATTTAATAACCGTTTGAAGTTAGAACAGGGCATTGAAAAAAGTGACTTCTGACCGTTTTTCACACGACCGTTGCAGCATTCCCCATGATAATATGACCCAAATTCCAAAGCTTGGAAACTGATACCATATTTATGACAGTTGCGGTGTCCAGGGGTTGTGGGATCACCTTTTGCAACCTCTTCTGACAAGCAAAATCAATGGGGAAGCCAGATTCACTTATCAACCGTGTTATTAACTTGACAACCGCACTGGTTTCCTTAACATCTGTGGCAAGGAAGGCCATAAAATGGGGCAAGGATTACCTGGATGCTGCTGAAATACATGGAAAGGCTGCAAAAGGCCTCTTATGGATTGGTAATTACTGTAGTTCAAAAGAGAAACGGAGCAAGCACAACTATCGGTTCTTATAGTAGGCTGGGTTAGTCTCCCCCAAATATTTTTGCTGGCTGATGCTCTTTTTGGGATGGGAAGTGAGGTGGCCAAAATGGCTGACCAATGGTGACTAATAAAAAGGAAGAGTGCTCCAGAAGTTAGCTTGACATTTTATTCATCTATTAAAGGTTTATGACGGCCACCTCCCCTCCCACGGTGACTCTAGGTGGCTAGATTTGCTAAATTTGGCACAAAATGGCAAATTCAGTTCAGAATAAGCCAGGGGTAGGCAACCTTGGCTCTTTTATGACTCGTGGACTTCAACTCCCAGAATTCCTGAGCCAACCATGCTGGAGTTGAAGTCCACGAGTCATAAAAGAGCCAAGGTTGCCTACCCCTGGAATAAGCAAATGTCAATAATACACACTGAGGCAAATATAGGTAGTCTTTCAACCACAACCACAACTGAGCCTAAAATTTCTCTTGCTAAGCAACGCAGTTGTTAAATGCATTTTCTCCCATTTTACGATCTTTTTTTTTAACCAGAGTTATTAAGCAAATTCCTGCAGTTGTTAAGTGAATCACCTAGTTAACTGAATCTGGCTACTCCCATTGACTTGGTTTGCCAGAAGCCGGCTGGGAAGTTTACGAATGGCGATCACGTGACCCCGGGACAGTGTAACTGTCATAAATGCATCCCAGTTGCCATTGGCCCAAATTTTGATCATGTGACCGTGGGGATGCTGCAATGGTCGTAAGTGTGAAAAACAGCCATAGGTCACGTTTTTCAGTGTGATTGTAACTTTGAACAGTCACTAAACAAATGGTTGTAAATCGAGGATTATCTGTTGGCTTAGTATTCTGATTGACCAAGAAAAATACCTTGTGGAGATGAGCTTGGCTTAATACAGCTGACCTACATACCCTGTGTGGTTCCAAAGTCTAAAGCAATTATAGCTGGTTGGAGAATTCTGGGAGTTGAAGTCCATACATCTTAAAGTTGCTGAGGTCGACAAATACTGGCCTAAAGGAATATTATTTTCATGGATGTGACAGACTAGAGAAGGCAGGCACTATTTGCCACCTTGCAACATGTTCTCCCAGACAGACAAACTACAGTTGTGACAATTTGAAGCCGGGAAACTACTGGGTTTTTCAACAGAGAGAATCTCTTCAGGGAAGGGAAGTTGAAATGGTCTAAGAAGCTAACGGGTTTAAATTGGATTCAGAGAAGGAAGAGAAACTAAGAGAAAATGACTAGCAAGCAAAGATGAAATTACACAGTCATGAGCTGCTGAACAGAGACAATTTCCAGGGCAATTCAAGATCACTGAAAATGAGTTGACGTGGAAATCTGGAGGAGAATGACGTGGCATGGGATCTGTGTAGTTGGCACAGATGCTCAGCAGGAGAAGAGGATCTGAAGACAATGAAAGGAAGATCAAGGTTGCCTAGCCAACGGCAGGTGCCATTTTTTATTTGAAGTCCTTGATTAACTCTTTGGGGAATGTAATAATGCCTAGGTACCTAGCTAAGGCTTAGGATAGTCATGCTTTCATAGTAGGAGAAGGAGATCTAATGCAGGCAGGAAGATAATTAATGGTATGGCAATTAGGCCATAAAGCAAGCTAGAATAGGAGGACAGAAAGAGAGAGAGGTGAATCTCTGGTGTGTGTTAGCTGGATGCTGCTTGCATAGTTATACGACTGAGTCAGCCTCAATTAGCAACTGTCTATCTTCTAGCATTGATGTGCTATGCATTAAAAAAACTGTGACCTGGTTCACAAGAATAGCCTTGCATTCTGTGTCCTGTCTGATCAATCCTGAGAAGGGCATGTGTTTGCAATTGTCCTAGAGAAATATTGCACGTGTGGGCACATGGACAAACACACATATGACCATTGTAATTTGTACCTCCCATGTAAAGCTGGTCTTCAAGGATCTACTTGGGAAAAGACCAGAGAACAGAGGGAGGAATCTGCTGTTAAACCTCACTATTACATATATATATGCCATTGTGCTACTGCTCTGGGTTTGCATCAGCACCAGCCCTCCCTGGACAGCTCCCACATCCCCAGTTTTCCCGGGCTTCCCATAGCATTCCTGTTGAATTTCCCATAATAGTCCCCAGCAGCCTTCCCCCCAAACTGTAACCCTGCAAATGTTCTCGTATTGCAGCTCCGTGGTGGTGATTCTGAGGATGTAATTTCAACATTTTCTTTTATATAACTTTATTGATTTTCCAAAAATGTACAAAGTTAAAAGATAAGCAGAAAAAGATTTGAAAAAAAAGCTCAAGAAAGAAAAGAGGTAAAAGTGAGGAGAAGAAAGTGAAAAAAAAAAAAGATAAAGACTGACTTCCAACTTTCTTTGGTACAGATTTAGATTTTAAAAAAATACATCAAACTCATACCCAAAGCAAAAAGTCCAAAAATGATTTTCAAGTAGAAATAAAATTTGTCAAAGTCTTTCCTTTCATCAAGGCTGTCAGTTTTGCATCTCTGCCAATCCCACCAGCTTCATCCATTTTTCCATTAGGGGTATTTTATAAGTTAGTGATGGCTTATAAAGAGACCAAGACCAAGTGCTCAAACTGCAACCCAAAATCCACTTATATATCGCCGGATGCTGGGTGGGCATGACCCGCTGGGTAGGTGTGGCCCACTGGATGGGCGTGGCTACGGTGGTCATGGCAGATGGGTGGGTGTGGCCAGGGTGGGTGTGGCCAGCTCGATGTTGCTCCTGGGGAGAGATGCCTGTGGGGGCCGGGCAGGGTTGGGTGAGATCCAGGGGGTCTCTGGTGGGTGGGGTGGTGGGCAGGAGGCTTGTCCTGTGGGGTGAGGTGAGGCAAGACGAGGCAGGGCGGGGCGGGGGTGCCATTGTCGCAGGGCAAGGCAAGGCAGAGGCGGCGGCTGCCTGACACCATTGGCCCCCGCACACAGAGGCCAGCGAGCGCATGGGTGCTGGGATTCATCCGGCCACGTGGGACCTCGGCGAGTTAGCGGGCGGCTGGTTGAAGAGGATGGTTGCCATCTCAAGGGCATGGCACGTGTGCCCACAGAGAGGGCTCTGAGTGCCACCTCTGGCACGTGTGCCATAGGTTCGCCACCACTGTTATAAGTTCTTCCACCTTTAAGCATATAAAAGCCTCGCTGCCATTATCACATATAAAAACAAAGTTCCATAAGATGTTTCCATTTGTTTATCCATTAAGCCCAAAACAAAAGCCTCTGATTTGAATTGCACATTCATTTTTAAATCTGCATCAAAATGCATAGTTGATCCCAATACTTTCTAGCTTTGTTGCATGTCTATTGAAGATGAAAGAATGTTCCTTTGTTTTGATTACATTTTCAAATAATATTTCAAGTTATACATTTCAATTTATCATAGACCAATGATACTGTAGGAGAAGAAGAGGCAGAGCCTGGAGGTGGAATCATGAGCGGACTTAGCCTAGAATTGTTACATGCTCATAAATGCTCCAAACCTTCTTTTGAATTTCATCGACTGTTATCTAGCTCCAATTTAATACTAGATTCTTGTGTATAGGCTTGAGCAATAAATCTTCTTAATTGGAACTTAACGTATTGTCCTGATTCTTTGTCCCTGACAAATACATCATTTTATAAAAATTCTCTTTAAAATGATACCGGTAATTCAATGTAAATTTCAACCCTTTCTTTCACATACTTTTCCACTAGTTATAATTCCAATATTTTCAGTGAATGCCTGGTGGAATAAAATTGCCCTTTAGCAATGCAACATTGTGGACATAACCTATATAATGCAATTAGAAGCATCAATAGAGACTTGTGCAATTTCAAACCTACACCATTTTTTGAGCAGTGTTTTCATAGAATCATATAGTAAATTTTAGATATGCTTAATATAATTTTAGTGTTTACATTATAATTTAGTATAAGCTACATCCTGGATTTCCCATATTAGCTGCTAGATAAGTTATTTTACAAATATATTTTAACTCTGTCTTAAATTTTGTTTATTATCTGTAATGGTCTTTGACCACAGTAAATTGAATTTAATGACTGATTGATTGAATCATATAGTAAGAAGGAACCTTGGGACTCAGAACCACATTCCTGCTGTTGGCTGAATTTCTCCTTCCCACTTTTTCAGATTCCTGCTACTCCAGATATGGTCCCCAACCGTGGTAAACTCAACCTGGCCCTGAAATTTATTCCAGCTGGTTCAGAAGGTGAGATTTAAGGATCCCTGTTTTTTTTTAGGCATTCTCCTTACCTGCTATAGTTTTGGACTGGAACAGAAATGTCCATTCCTTCTGCAATACCTACCATTATGACTCCCAAAGGAACCATATCCTTAATTGACCTCAAATAGAGTCACGAGAATTAATGAAACCACTATTTCATAGAGTCATAGGACTGGAAGGGACCTTGGCGGTCTATTAGTCCAATGCTCTAGCAAAGAACAAACTTATTTATGATACCTTAAAGAATAACATTTCATTGTTTTTGGAGGAATCCAAGGGACTTTGACTCCAGAAATCATTAGTTAATCAACTATGGGCAATGGAAGAAGCTCAGGTTCTAAAATCTGGAGTAAGTGACACAGTTCTTGAATCTTTGGATGATTTTGGCTAAGGAGGGGTATTGAACTAGAGGTTGGTATCATGTCGAGGGTGGATGGTATGCTTCCCAGAGTCCCCTTTCTTAACACAACTTTATTTCAGAGCCAGGACTTCCTCCCACTGGAGAGCTTCATATGTGGGTCAAGAATGCAGAGAATCTTGTACCTCGGTGGGGGACCACGGTAGATACCTTCGTTCAATGGTAACTATCAATAATTGCAAGTCTTTTGTAATGGAGAAAGACTTGGGTTGGCTAACCAACTGAAGGCCAGGCTGGTTCAGTTATTACATAGCTTGATGTATATCTAGATGTTTCTTGTCTTTCTCAGTAGGACAATCAGAATTATTCAATATTAGTCCTGTCTGCCTTTTTTTCTCCCTCCCTCCCTCACCAGAAAGACAATAGATTTCTTCTCTCCTTGTTCTTTCTGCAGAAACTTTTTGATGACAGGAAAATAAATGTATTTAAAATGAATCTGTTTATCTATCTATCTATCTATCTATCTACCTACCTACCTACCTACCTACCTACCTACCTATCTATCTATCTATCTATCTATCTATCTATCTATCATCTATATCTGTACTTGAAGGGTTATAGTTGGTTATAGAAGTTGTTCATGATTGTTTATTCAGAGATTCCTTTTTAAAAAAAGAATCGATGTCACACTGATTGTGTTTACAGGCCACAACTGGCCAGATTAGTTGCTTCCCCATAGTAAACCCCATAGCGAATGGCATCCGACAGCCATGGATGCTCTGTTGATAGTAGCTGGTTTCTTATGGCCGCCTAGAAGCCATAAGTGTTGTTTGCAATCTAGCTGTTCTTATTTTTCTATTTTGGAGAATCCATGATGATCCAGTCAGATTTACTCATCCCCACTTTTTTTTTGTTGCCCTGTTTAACTCCATATACCTATAAGAGGTAAAGTAAAAACGCTTAAGAAAGAAGGAATTTCTAGATTTACTTTATTGCATCAGCACCCAAAAGATAGTTAACTAATACCGGTAGTCCCCGACTTACAACAGTTCATTTAGTGACCGTTCGAAATTACAACAGCACTGCAAAAGGTGACTTATGAATGTTTTTCACATTTACTACTGTTGCAACATCCCCGTGGTCATGTGATCAACATTCAGATGCTTGGCAACTGACCCGTATGTATGACGGTTGCAGTGTCCCTGGAGTCATGTGATCCCCTTTTGCAACCTTCTGACAAGCAGAGTCAACCGGGAAGCCAGATTCAACTAACAATCATGTTACTAACTTAACATCTGCAGGGATTCATTTAACAACTGTGGCAAGAAAGGTTGTAAAATGGGACAAAGCTCACTTAACAAATTTTCACTTAGCAAAAGAAATGTTGGGCTCAGTTGTGGTTGTAAGTCAAGGACTACCTGTAACTAATGAAGACTTGCAGAAGAGCACCCAGATCATTTGTTAATTCAGTGCCAGGGACACACACAGAGAGTCCCCCACTCATTTGAGCCTAAAAGGAGGAAAATATGGGCATGCATAGTTGTGAGGTCCTTGGAGCACTCAGCCCCAAGGTGGTTTTCTTGCAGATGTTTCATTGCCCAACTAGATAACATAGTCAGTGCTAAAAGAGAGTGGGATTTGCTCCGTGTTTATCTACAGGTTGTTTCCCCTGTCTGTATTGGTGAGAGTGTTCTTGGTTCTTAATTAGGCTGTTGTTTGAGTTGGTAGTTCCTTGATTGGGGTGTTGTTTAAAATTTGGTTGTTCGTCTAGTGTTAATCTTGGTCTTAATCTCTGCTTATCTGGGTGTTGATTGCTGGCAGGGACATATTTGGGTCTTTTCGTTCTTTTTTAGTTTTTTGATTGTCTTTTTTAAATGGTAAGTAGATGCTGTTTATCTCTACAGTATATGCCTGTTGAGAAATGATTTGTCTGTCAGGCTTCCAGGAATTCTCTAGCATTTTTGTACTTGGCTTGGTCTAGGATGCTCTCTGTTTCCCAGTTGAAACTATGGTTAAGCCTATCTGTGCGTTGTGCAATTAAGGAGTTTCCATAATTCTGTCCCAGTAATCTATTTGTGTCTGTTGGTTGGGCTGCTGCATGACATTGAATGCTAGTCTTGATGGCTCTTTGCCCAGTGCTGCACTTGGATAATTTTAAACTCTGGACTCAGTGATCCAGATGGAGTTCAAACACTCTTGTCAGTGGATGGGCACTTCTCTTTAGATGTAACTAGACAACTGTGTGATTTGTTGGGTCAACCTTTCAAAGAAAGATAGTGCAATCTGATGTAACCAGAATGAACATTGCATTTTAAGTTGAGTGTATTATTTCTTTTTATCCCAATGCTGGATGGTCCTGTGATCATCTAAGAAAAGTATATATCATAAATAGATTAACTGTAGTGGCAAACAAACTTTTAAAGAAGAAAAATCCTGGGGAGAAAGGTTTAATCCTTCCTTGTAACAGTCTTGATCCAGCTCATACACCCGTCCTAACATGTAGCTACTTTTTGTTAAATAAAAGATGTTATTAGTTTGGATCAGTTCATTTGATCCCTAATTTCTCAATGTTCAGCCCTCCCTGAAAAAGGCTACTGTACTCAGTGGACTAAATATTCCTGCACAGAGCTTAGCTTGCACTGTATTGGTTTGATAACAGAAACTTGGAAGCTTGGCCATTATTAAAAGAACAGTTGGGCCATGTCCAAACTGGAAGAACTCTTTCCTGTCCAGTTCAGGCTGAAACTTCAAAAATATCCATCTTGTCGCTTTATCCTTTTCCAGCTACATCCTCCCAGATGACACCAAGTTGAACCGCCAGAAGACCCGAATTGTGAAAAAGACTCTGAACCCTACTTTCAATCACACTATGGTCTATGATGGCTTTGAGGTTAAGGACTTAGCACAGGCATGTGCTGAATTCACTGTGTGGCAGCGGGAGACTTTCTCAAAGCATCGGCTAGGAGGCATCCGGCTGAGTCTTGGCACAGGTGAGACACCCAAGCACTAAGAGATTGAAAGATGGATGCATAAAGCCTATTGTTTTGGAAAGGTAGTATTGGAGAACTTCATGATGTTCCATTCCTCCTCTGATTCACATGAGTCTGGGGTAATCTGTCAGTTTTCCACAAATTAACTCTCCAATTTGCTTTAGAGCAGTAATCCAAGCTCCAAAATCTTGAATAATGTCTTGAATACCTCAAGCCACATGATTTGGAGGATTAATGTCTGGAAAACTAGCAAATGCCTCTCATTCCCCAAAATTGAGATGACCCAAGAGGGGAACAGTAAGTTTTCCATATCCCTGAAGGTAATTCATTGTATAAGTGGAGGTCTACATCTCCTTGCTGAAGACTGAACATCCATTGCTGTATGTACACAGCTCTTTGTTTGAGATGCAATTGTATGCACAGATCCTAGGAATAGCAGAGACATTTTGTAGGGCAGGGGTCCCCAACCCCTGTCCGTGGACCAGTACTGGGCCACGGCATGCCAGCAACCAGTCTGCACAAACAAGCAAAGCCCCATCCGCAAGATGCAGGCAGCACACAAAACCACAGACCCTCCACTCTGCAGAAAAACCTCTCTCCATGGAACCGGTCCCTGGTGCCCAAAAGGTTGGGGACCTCCGCTGTAGGGCATTCCATTATTTCTTATTCAGAGAATTCATTATAGAAATCAAACACCCTGCCTGCAAAATATCCTGCTGCCTCTTGCTTATCACATACAAGGTAATCTCTGACTGGAAACTGTGGTTTTCATGCAGGGAACAGCTATGGCCTACCGGTCACTTGGATGGATTCAACAGAGGAAGAGCGCCACACCTGGGAGATGGTCTTCAAGCAACCTCAACAGTGGGTGGAAGCTGCTCTTCCCTTGAGGACCAACCTGACTTCAAGGACTTCGCCCTAGCCTTTACTGAACAACAGTAGGATTCCTGTGCTGTCAGAATTAGTCTGATGGCAAATTGATGACTATACCTTATGGAGGATTTTGCCTAAGATCAGGTTCCTGATGCTGGGAAGAGCTATAGCCACTGGGACAAAGGCAGAGTAACAACTTTATTGATATGTGAAGTCTGCCTCCTCTTACCGACTTAAGGAGAACATTGTGTGGCTTCTAGAGTTCTCTTGTGAAAAAAACTCCGCACTGGGATAACTAGAACACCCACTTTATTTCAAGGAAATAAACTGCCTTATAGTCACCTTTGCCCATTTCCAGTGTTCTCCATGCACATGGCCAATGATTAATACTATTTTTTAAATAACCATTTTGACTAAACATTTCTGAACCCCCACCTTCGTTCCTTATGGCGATCCAGAGAAACGTTTAAACTGTCCCATTAAGCCGTTCTTACTTTCTATAGGTCCCTTAGAGCACGGCTTGCAGTGTCTCTCATTACCACACCACTAACTCCTACAGCTGCATTGGTGGGTTTGTGCTAGAGATGGCAGGATTGGAGCGGAGGAGGTGTAGAGCTGTCCACAATTGCTGAATTGATCTCGGTAGCCAAGGTGGGGCTTCGGCAGAGAACTCCTAATCCTGGTGCAGCCTCTCTCGTAATAACAGTAAGAATATCACAACATTCCTCAGTCCCTTTTGGGGACTTTCAACAAGAAGAGAAAACGTTTTCTGCTTTTTCTCAGTCCATAATGCATGTTGCTAAATTTAGCAGAAGTCTTCCATGGAAACTGCCTCTGGGAGGTTCTCCCCAAATCTATTTGTTCTGAGGATGATTTTTTTTTTGGTCACTTTCCTGGACCAAGAAGCCAACATCTGACCTCAATATGAGGGCTGACAAGTTAGAAAATCTTTCCAGCCTTATCTCAACTGCTGGTGAGAAGATGGGCCGGGTGATCAGAGTCTGTTGCCTTGCCAACAAATCCGAGCTTTCTTTCCTCATGGTTGCTGGTGCAGCTGCTGCTGGGATAGGTTCTGTCGGTGGTCCACGATGGCTTTCCAGATTCGGCACACCATTCCCCCTCTGCCGAGAGAAAACAACCAATCAACCAGCTGGTATCTACGGCTGTGGAAATGAACATTTTTCATAGGTCAAAGCAACATTGAACAGAACAAAAGGCATCTTCCTGTGGTTCAGGAAGCATGCTTTTAGAGGAATTATTTGGCTTGCAATTTTTTCAAATTTCTATTATTGCAGGATCACAAATTCAATCCACAGGAGCTCCCAAATAAGGGAGAAGACAAACAGCACCCTCTTTGAAATGTTAGAGACGTTCTGCTTAAATATGCATTTTTTTCTTAGGTAATCAGAACTAACATGGTGCCAAGGATAATACCAGTTTATCTGCAGCAGGTGCAGCTGGCATCTGCGTGATGAGTTGATGATACTTAAATCGTACATGCATAATAATAGTACCCAAACTTTTCAGGATTTTAAATCATTTGTTAAAAATAAAATTATCTTAGGAGCCTTGCTTATCAGGCAAAATTACATGCTGATCCTGAAATGATTGCCTCTTTCCGCCCTACCTGATGCACGTGTATCGGAGATCATCGATTGTAGCCAGCTTCAGCAAATCATTCAGGGTGAATCCATGGTAGCAGAACTTTAAGAAAAGAGGATAATTTGAATTCCTGACTTGATTTACATCCCAAGTTTCCTCCAAGCTCAATGTGGAATTTCTTTTGTCCAATTGTTTCTTAAAGCCACCACCTTCCATCACCTTGACAAACAGGTTGAATGGCCCCAAGTCATCTTAGCTCCACAGTTGAATGGAGTCTTGACTGCAGGCCTCCCCTGGTCTTTGTTTAACCATTATGCCACTCATCAGGGGAAACAGAAGCTCTGCCTCTAAAGATGGGCATCTCTAAAGGCAAGTTTTCTACTGCTATTTTGAGGCTAGAGCAGCCTTTTGTTTGAGAAGACAAAATGTAGCCTAGAGTGGCCATCTTCTCCACCAGTCTCACCGAAGTAGGGGCAGATGTTTATACCACCTGCTGCTGCTGAATCAGACCTACCATTGCCACTGTGGCTTTGTCTGCACCATGTTTCTCTAACCATTCTGCCAGGAAGGGATCTCCAGCATTTTCTCCTTGGTCCCAGGAAGTTGGAGAAGGAGGGATTTCTAGGAAGGCAGGTGGAAAAGAACCAAATCAAAGCTCCTTCTTGGACCAACTCTATTTCCTAAAACTACACTTTGCAATTTCCCCACATTTCCTTGGTTCAGATGGTCTTTGATGTCGTTCCCAAAACTGTATCCAGCTCTCCTCCTGGAGGAAACCGTAAGCTGGGAGGTCAGGCAGAAGAGGCTATGCAGTTTCACAACTGGGAAACAGAGACACAAGTGTAGAAGACAAGTCTTGCTTCTCTACCACTGCAAAGCTCGGTCTCTATGGACTGCTTGCTGCACCAGGCCAAGCATGATCCTGAAAACAGAAGACTTAAAAGAGAAGCGTCTGCTTCTTCTGCTCTTAAGGCTGCATGTGAACGATCCCAGAAGCCTTTGCTATTGAAATTCTCCCCTTTGCTCCTGAATTTTAATTTTAATATTATCAATAGATAATATTAAATATATGGAGTTCCCATAACACACTTCAGGAGGAAAGTTCAAGACTGAGGAGACATATTGGCCCAATAAGATAGGCTTCATTAATTTTAACCATGAAGGGTTTTTGTGCATTGCTGTGTTTTGGGAACCTAGCTAAAAAGTTATATTACACTGTATATAAAAGTGAAGTGCAACCTTTATCTTGAACATGTTAATTTATTACAGCTTTTTTTAAAAAGAGGAGAATCCTGTTTGGGGGGAAGACCACAGCAGTAGGTCAAACATGTATTTTGCATATAGAAGGTCTCTTGAGCATGGCAACTGTCACAGCAGATGGCTGGGAATAGGAAACCTTCTTGATGCAGAGTTTGTCCTGATCTAAAACAACTTTCCACAAAGAAGTACCTGAACATGCACAGATTCTACTTTTAGAAATCTCGTGACCATTCCCAAGCAACAAGTTATAAGGCTTGAGCCCCTCTTGCAAAATTGGAAGTAGGTCAGTTAAGTTGCCCTCCATGCAGCAGCATCTGCCACTGGAAAAGGGGGGGGGGTGTCAAAAAAGGCAGGTATGGCTACACAACCGAAGCGCTGTCATGCATATAAAAAAGGGGCATAGCTTTGGTAATAGCCCCATCTTCATTCTTTTGCCCCTGGCAGATGTCTTTACCTCCATGCCAGTTCATTTAAAAGGGTTTATTTATTTAAAATTTATTTTAAATTCCATTTAAAATAGAATTCACTGATGCAGAAATGTTACTCTCAAGCACTGGTTCTAGTCTAAACTTGCTGCTATCCAAAACCTCACCTATTATCTGTGGCCGCTTCAGAGACCAGGTATCCTGTTCCATGACCTTCAGGGCTTCTTGTAGGAGCCTCTGACATTCCTGCTGCTTCTCTATCAGTTTCCACTGCAACCTGCCAGAGCCAAAAAGATCAGGGCAAGCTGGTTATGTTCCTAAATTTAAAAACTGATTAGTGAGTAGACCTAAACCAGGGCTTGGTTAGTACTCATTGCTAAACCTTAATGTGGCTTGATTCTTTCTGACATAGCAGGATGGATACATCTGCAAAGAACATAAAGCCTTCCATTCCCCAACAGTTATTTAGAACTGAAGATGCTTCTTGGATGAGGAGCAGAATGTTTTCAAAGAAAAAAATCAAGGAGGTCCAGTTGCCTTTTAGAAAAAAAGCACCTGTGGGACAACCTAGATTGAGATGATTGAGAATCTCCATAGACATCTACCTGTTCAGGTCGTCCTTGACTCATGACTACAGTTGAACCCAAAATTTCCATTGCTAAGCAAGACAGTTGTTAACTTTTGCACCATTTAATGACCTTTCTTACTACAGTTGTTAAGTGAATCACTGCAATTGTTAAGTTAGTAATACGGTTGTTAAGGTCAGTCTGGCTTCTCCATTGACTTTCCTTATCAGAAGATCACAAGAGGTGATCACGTGACCCCAGGACCCTGCAACCACGATAAAGACATACCAGTTGCCAAACATCCTAATTTTGATCACCTGACTATGCAGATGCTGCAACAGTCGCAAGTGTGAGAAACGGTCATAAGTCACTTTTTTCAGTACCGTTGTAACTTTGAACGGTCACTAAATAAATGGCTGGAAGTCAAAGACTACCTCTGCTTACTTGCAAATGGTTGTTTTCCTTGCTTGTTTTAAAGGATGTATATTTAACTAGCTGCACCACTGCGCAGTGGCTTTGTGCAGCTCCAACCCCACTGCTCATCCCAGCCTTCTGGGATGCAATCGTCAGACCCAATCCAGGAAGAACTGACCTTCTGGTTTCTGCCTGCAGATGGTTGAGTTGAGTCATGAGGGGCAAATGGCTCTTGAAGGGAGGCTGGGAATCCAGCCAACTGTTGGTGTCGGTGCCAATTCCGGATGTTGGCGTATCTGCACTGTCCTTGAGGTCGCTCTCCTGCATTTTCAAAGACGGGGGCTGCTGAGTCAAAAGTGTTTCCTCGTGTTCTCTGCTGCTTGGGTGATTCTGGCTTTCTTCCTGCAAATTCTGTGGCTGCACCTTGAGTTCTGGAAGAGCAAGTGAGACTCATGAGCAAGGCAAGAACCAAAACTGCAGGAAGAGGCCTTCGCTGCTAGTTGACAGGCACACGGTGATTTGAAACCTGAGATGGATAATCTCACAAAATGGCTGTCAATGAAGGGGGATCACAAAATGGCTTCCAAATGGTTGAAAACAGGGGAAGCTGTCTCCTGCCACCACCTCAGATGCTTTTAATTTCATGAGTTTTTATTTGGGGCAGGTGGATTTGGGTTGCGTTCTCCCGTCATTTAATTATTTTCTATAGATTTCTATACGCAGAGGGAGGCACAGAGGCCCTCTCAAAAATAAGTTGTTTCCAATGCCTGTGCTTTGCATCAAGCAGCATTTCACACACACCCTTTTTAAATTAAATACCTCTGCAAATACATAAAGAGAGGAAGGAAACTTGGCAAAGGAGGTGTCTGCCCATAGATAGATTGTAGGAGTAAACAAAAAGTAAGAACAACTAAACAACCTATTCTGCCATGAAGAAAATATTTAAGGTTCAATCCAACATCTCCAGTTTAAGGGACAGAGCAGTTTTTAAAAAGTCTCCAAGATTTTTTAAATACACTTTTGTACACTGGTCCTACGTGGTCTTGGGTAGTTGGGATGTCACAGGGAAAAAAAACAG